ACCTCCCAGCAGACTACAGTGGTCTGGGAGATCTGAGGGGGCAAATGGCTGATCCCTGAAGATGTGTCCTTGAGTCAGTCAGAACCAGTTTTGTTCTTTTATGTCATATGTAGAGACATCCAGGTGGTACAATGGACAGCACTGGAGTTGGAATCAAGAAGACTGGCATTTAAATCCTGCCCAGACACTTATTAGCTGTGTGATTGGACAATTCACTTAACCTCTCTAAGCCTCAGTCTCCTCATCTGTAAAACAGGGATGATAATAAGCATCTGCTTCACAGAGTTGTTGTAAGGATTAAATGAGATAACATGTGGAGTGTTTTGCAAGCCTTAAAGCCCTTTATAAATGCTAGTTCTGACCTTCCTCTGTGACTGTTGCCCTTGGCTCAAATCTCTTCACCAGCTATATCAGTACTGCATACTTGGGACATTATACTTACTGTCCAAAATGTTGACATGGACTCCCCTGCCTCCTGGTTCTATATGAAACTACTGGCCATTTGGGTGAGTCTGAAATGGTTCCATGTGTTCCATATTCATTGATGCTTTAACTATCAGTCTCTAAGTAGCCTTTCTAGTTGTAATATAAAATCAGAAAACTTTCCTTCCTCCTGTTGAAAGGTATTAATGAAAAGGACCAAGGCTTCCTGCGTATACTCCATTCCCCGACATGGTTCTTTAGCTTCCTCAAGTATTCTGACCCTGTGACCTCAGGAAACTGCCTTTTTAAGAATACTATGATAGCACAGGTGAGGCTTTCCATCAGCCTCCTGCATGTACCTGTGTCTGTTTTTGTTACTTCAATGGTATGTCCTAACTAGGACTCAAAGCATTTCCCATTTGGTAGGTAGGGATACTCTCTCAAAAAAGATCATAGCTTCTCCTATGGAGTCCCTTGTATTTACATAGTCAAACTGACAGTCTGCTTTCAGTGCTTAGCGCATGCTACTATTTCCTGAGTTGCATGTGGTATCTTTCCAGTAGCTTGTTCCACGTTTTCTCTTCTTCCCTTGGTCTATCTTTCTCTCATCAGGACTGATTTAAACCTTCTCCTCTGCCTGGGGAGTTCAGTAATTACTTTCTAGAATCCTTTATCAATACTTGTCCCTCCAGCAGTGTTGGAATGTACCATTTCAGACAATTTACCTAATACAGTGCTTTGTATTCATTGTCTATGGCACCTCCTGAGATTGTTTCAATGCAATCATCACAGCCGTCAGTGAGTACCCTCCCCCCAACTAACAGTGCTTGAAGGGAGGTCCTGTTATTGTGCACCAGTTTTCTAATTATAGGAAAGCTATGGTGCTGTTTAGCTTAAAGCTTAATCAAACAACAATACACTAATGACACTGACATACAACAATAGTTTCAAAGTACCTTGTCTGGCCTGTTAAAATCACATAAGAAAATCTTGCTACCCAATTACAGTCTAAGAAAAAATATAAAAAGAAAAGTCTTGAATGTGTTTCTACAGTGCCTGAGCATCCAAAAATAGAGATCTCAGGTGGATGCCCATAGATATAGTTCCCAGGCCAACAAATACATAAGGGTCCCCTGAAAGCTACTTCAGATTTCAGGCATATTGTGGGTCAGTATCTGCTCAAAGCTGTAGCTCATGATGCCTACTGATGTTTTTTTTTTTAACCAGATCAACCAGAAGATATATTAGTTCAAAGCAAAAGACATTATTTTAAACAGTATAGGAAAATAAGTGACAAGAAAGATTCCCACCTACTCTACTGCTTGCCCTGATATGAATTGGGGTATGTTTTCCTACGGGTTATCACACTTCTGGTAGGAAAAGGGAAACGTGACGGGCATAAACATAGCCAGGGCAACTCACACTCTTAAAATGACAACCCAGCTAGAAACCTCTCCCTTCAAAATGTCTATACTCCCTACGCCATTAGAAATGACATCTAATAGAAGGGAGGGCAGATTGGGGGAGGGAGTAATCAGAAGCAAACACTTCTAAGGAGGGACAGGGTCAAAAGAAAGAATAGAATAAATGGGGGGGCAGGATAGGATTAAGGGAAATATACTTAGTTTTTCACAACATGACTACTATGGAAGTGTTTTGCATGACTACACATGTATAACCTGTATCAAGTTGCTTGCCATCTCAGTGAGAGTGGGTGGGGAGGGAGGAAATGAGAAAATTTGGAACCAAAGTTTAAAACAAAAAATAAAAAAATCATTAAAAAAAAAAGAAATGACATCTAAATAGATTACAAAGAACAAAGAAAGAGGGGGCAATTTAAGGCAACTTGGAGGTTGAACAGGTCCCCTGGTAATATTCAAGCTACTAACCACCAGAATTTTTCCTGTTCTTTTTCTTGGAGTCTGACTTTAACCAGAAAGGCAAGAGTGAAGAGTGAAGAGTGTTGGACTTGACATCCAAAAACCTAGTTTTGAATTCTGGCCCCCATCACTTATTGTTTGTCTCTTAGCAAACCAATTAACCTCTCTTGAACCTAAGTTTCTTTCCTGGCCTATCTTACAGGGTTATTATGAGGATCAAACAAGGTAATATATTTGGAAGTGCTTTGTTCCCTCAGCTACTTCCTTAAATTTGAGCTTGTATGGACAGAGAGATCCTGGCACAGGCCCCTTAATTTCGGTAGCTTTTCCTCTCTGTTAAGTCTCTCTCTCTCTCTCTCTCTCTCTCTCTCTCTCTCTCTCTCTCTCTCTCTCTCTGTGTTTGTGTTACAGAGAACTGTGCTGGTTCTGCCATTCCCTTGAGTTGGTGTCCACTGTGACTCTTGGAGTCATGGTGAATTTATCTGGCATTAGTCCAAGGATTACTGGATATTTAGTTTTCTATACCTGTCAAGTGCTATTATTGATGGGCACATTTTATAAATGCAATGAATAAATAAACAGCAGATAGCTAGTCCTCTAAGCTTCGTGCTTATTAGAGGCTCTGATGAGCAGCTGAAGTCTGTGCTTCTCTCTAAGCTTGGGCCTGCCTTCCCTGGAGGAAAACATATTAGAAGCACTCAACAACATATACATGTATCGTCATAAACACCTGAATTATGTAGCCTTTTGAACCAAAACTAGCTAACTATAGTTAAAGCTGTTCTTTGTTCATAGCTAATAACTCATACACACAAACGTGTGTATAGGGGATAATGTCAATACATTGTTCTAGGTCCTCATTGTCAAGGCTACTAGGGACTTAGTTTTGACCTTAAAGATATCTCTCTATCCAAAGTGTAAAAGTCCTTGTTGCCACCCACCGATAAAGCCTTTGTTCTGACACTAAGTATGTTTTCTCATACAAAGTGTTGATATCCCCATTAATATCACATTGGAACATCACGTTGGATATATCATAGCTAGTCAAATACCGTGGTCTTGGCTTTTAAAAAGAAGAACTGAAGCCACACGAACATGTAGAGAGCCAGAACTAAGATATGAAAAGAGGAAAGGCACTATACCTGAAGAGGTCTAGGGGTTTTGGGGTGCTGGGACCCCAAGATCGCGGTACTGGGCCCTGCCTGAAAGAATTCAACTCTAATCTTCTTCAGCCAGAGGAAAAAGTTTATTGGTGGTAAAACATATAGGCCGGGTGACGCCCGTAAAGACGAGCGGGCACGAGAGGTTCTCAGCCTTGTGGGCCTGAGATTCTCAGCCGGGTGACGCCCATAAAGATGAGCGGGCATGAGAGGTTCCCAGCCTTTTGAGCGTGAGATTCTCAGCATCTGAATGAGGGCCAAGGTGGATCTTAAATACTAAAGTAACTTTGGGTGGCCAGAGAAGGGGGTTGGGTAAAGGGTGTAGGTAACAATTCTAATTGGGGAGGTCATGGAGATTGAATAGACAATGGGAATAGATAATGGAGGAACAGGAAGGCAGAAGTTTGAAAGGCATCAGCACAAAATCAAGGTGGGGCTAGGACTTTCAAAAGGAGATAAAGGAAGGCCTTTCTGGGGCCTATAGACAAGAGGGAGCCTAAGGCTTTTAGGGTGCATCTGAATAAAGATTAAAAGGTAAAGTTAAGGCTTTCAAAGGGAGATGAGGGTCTGGGGCCTGTGAGTCAGATTCCCTTTGAGGCAAAGGGTGAAGATCTTGGCTTGGGCCCCGCCCTCATCATACCCAGATATGTGGACTTGGTTTCCTGAAGAGTAAATCTGTACATCTGCTCTAGAGCTCTGTAGGAAAATCATGTGGTCCCCAGTGAAGAGGGAACCATGTGACCTAAGAAATGGGAACTGTGAATTGTCTAGTGTCTAATGGAGGGCCATCAATTCTGCAATGACATCAAGTATCCTTTTGGGGTATATGTGGGGAGGGGAGAAGGGGGGAAGATGGCACAACCAGAGTTGCACTCTAAGTTTACAGAATCCTGTAGATCTTTATACAAGTGGAACTTACCAGAGGGAAAAGGGTTAACTCCCTAGGGGCTTTGATTGCTTTACCCTTACAGGAGACTTCAACCTTAGGTTAAGTACACGGGTCTGGTGTACTGAACAGGTCCTTAGAGAGAGTGAAAACCCACAGGAGAGAGAAGGAAAGTTGTTTTAATGTTTATGGGCTCAGATATGAGTCCTTTTTCATTTGTGTTCTTTTTTCTTTCTGATCAGGTTAGTAAAGTCTGTCAAGTGGTCAATGTATTGTTAGCCCGAATGCTTGCATAGGAGCTGTGATTCCTTTCCTTTATTGCTGAGACTCAGGTGCAATATAAGATTTCATGCTCCTAGAGGAAACCCTAGGTTGGGGTATTAGCCAAAATCAATGATTTCTGAGATATCCCCAATATTGAACCTGGCCCGTGTAAACCCAGAGCTACATGGGTACATGAGCCACATATACACGTGTCCCATAAACTTCCCTTCCAACTTATCCATAAACTGTACACGTACCTATCTTTCATACATTCTCCCCATACAGTCCCTCTCACATTCAGCCAGCTCACGTCCTACCCACGCCCCTTTCTAGATCTGTTTCTCTTCTTCCCCTCACCCCAGGGTTTCTGAAGGAGGAAGGTTTTTCTTTTTCTTATTCTTTTTTTTTTCTTGCAGAGTAAGTCAGCAGCTGCCTGGGAAACAGAAGGAGTTAACAGCTATATTTTTAACTTGGAACCCATGGGAGTAAATGACAGTGTCTAACGTATGCATTAATACATGATGAAGTATTCTGGTGAGTATGCTTAGAACGTGAGAGCCTAAGAAGTACCTATCAGGATAAGCTAGTGTCCACCCAGCTCAATATTGTGACAGGACTTCTGCCTCTGACATTAATTAGCTATGTGACAATTAACAGATGGCTTAACCTCTCTGAGCTTCAGTTTTCTCATCTGTAAGAGAGACAGTAATGCTTGTATAAACTATCTCAAAAGTATATTGGAAGGAGAGTGCTATGCAACCCTTAAATACTGTATAAAATATAGTATTGTTATTACTATTATTTACCAAAGTGGGGGAACTATGCACATCTCAGATAATGTCAAATCAAAAAGTTAATGATGAACCATAGACAGCATTTCTGTAATAATTCAATTCAGCAAGCATCAAGCACCAGTTATGTGAAGGCACTGTACTAGGAGCTACAAAGACAAAAGGGAAACAGGACCTGTCCTCAAGGAGCTTATGTTCTAATGTGGGGGGGTAGGGGTGGGGGGTGGCACAGTGTGGTGTTATCACATGGTCACGAATAAGGAAAGGCAAAGGAAATAAAGTAATTTGGAGGAAGCACTATCAAGCATGGGAGGGGGCAGGGTGGCGAGGCCCATGTAATGTGTATAAGGCTTGACAACTGACTGCTTGGATGTTGTGGGTGAGGTACAGAGATAAATGAGCAGTGACTTAGAGCTTCAGAACTAAGGCAACTGGAAAGATGGTGGTGCCCTTCTTAGAAATAGAGAAGTTAAGCAGAGGGATGGATTTAGAGGAAAGGTAATAAGTTCATTTCTGGACATGCTAAATTTAAGACATCTGTGGGATAACCAGGTGGAGATAGTAATAACTTGTTATTATTTAATTTACCTTAAACCTTCCCAGAATTTATTTCTATTTCACTTTGTACTATTTCTTGTATAACAAAATCTGTACAATACTAGTTACATACAGTAAAATTGTTCTTTTTTTTAAAGACCATCTTTAAACCTCAAGTCTACTAGTTTTAGTATTCTAGAATTTGGTGAAAATAGTAATTTCCACCATAGGGATAATTGCATTCCCATCATAAACTCTGATTATATCTTCTTTCAACCATTATCTTTTCAGACTGAAAAGATTGTGTAACCCATGGCTGAGGACCACAGCTTTGTGCTTACATGGAGTAGGTTCAGTTTCTAAGGCTTCTTGAAAATAACTCTTAAGGATTATGCCCCTATCCAGGGTTTTTCTTAGTAACATCAGAATTTGGCTTATATCTAAAAGAGCCCTCAGCTCTCACACAAACATTCAGGCTAACAACAGCAGATATAGGACAAGTTACTTTTTTTCTTTTTTTTTTCAGCCTGACACAAAACACAAAGGACTCCCACATACTCTGAGCCGAAAAACAGTCAAGACTACTCCTCTTTCAAATGAACCTACACCTTCTCCAGGGAGCTACAGAATCGTTGAGACTTATGGTACTATACTGATTGGAAACCCCGCAAGAAGAAAGAACTTGGTAGTCTTAGACAACTCACTTCCCCCTCAGTTGGTCCTTGCCTTCCTAGGGACTGGTATAGTCCTCCCAATTTATGGTTCTAGGCTGCATGGGTTCCCTCCCATACAGAAAAGAACTTGGTGTTGCTAGAGAGTTCAATAACCCTCTCTTCTGGTAGGTTCTTCTTTCCCTCAGGACCTATGCTATCCACCTGACTCATAGTACCAGTGAGGAAATAGGTCTGGGGTTGTTCCTCACATTGTGACTGCCTACGGTGCTAATCTTTCTTCCCCTTCACATAGCAATCTGGCAATATTTCCTTCTCTTCTGCCATGTCTCTGGCTCCCTTTTGGTGTGTATATATTTAAACCAATCTGTATCTCCAACTGGCACAGTTTCCTCCACTCCTAGGGACCATGGGGCTGCACAGATGCATAGCTCTGTCCCAAGGAATCTGACACCCTGTCTGTTATTATCCTTATTCCAAATGTATATGTTTGACCTCTCTTTTAATGGTTAGTACCCAAACTCAGGTATGTGATTAGCTGTGAATGGAGTCAGAGTCAAAACAAATCTTAGTCAAGAGGGAGGAGGGGCTCCTCCTCAGTATATCTCTGCACACCTGCTCTGCACATTTTATTTTTTTTTTCGGTCCAAGTAGCAAGGTTTATTAACAACAATGTGGTGGGCAAGATTCCTAATAAATATTCCTAATAAGATTCCTAATAAATATGCTATTGTATCATCAATAGGAGCAGGCAGAGTTCCTATCTGCCCACTTTAAAGTCCTGTAGATGTTCATCTCCTCTTTGCCCTCCTCCGGACAGAAATCCGGCCAGGTCCATTGATAAAAACATCTATATGCCTCTCGCAGGATGTCATAAAGTAGAGCTGACCAAGCCAGTCCAGGTCTGACTAGGTTAGTTGAGGACCTCAGGTTCAAAACTGGAATGGAATGAGACACACTTGTAGTTCATCTAACAGTTAACAAAAGGAGCTATTGCTTAGCCATAGCAGTGGAAAGAGATTCAGAGCAGGGAAGGGATTATTCACTGAGGATACATTTGACTAAGGTGAATGAATCTTTTCTGAACTGCTGCTGTTCATGCTGCTGCTCTGTGGTCTGAGGACTCCAGGCCTTCATGTCCTGGACGTTTTTATACTCAGGAAGATACATGTATGGTCTGAGCCCTAGTCCTCCTGAGCCAACCGAATCTCAAGGACAGTTTCAGTACCTTCTAAGGAAAATCCTTGCTTAACCTAAAGGAGTGGGGCCTTAAGATATTGCTTCATCGCATGAGAAAAGAATTCCAGTACTTGAGGCATACGGAGGAAGAAAGAAGGAGCTGGCAGCTATAACAAGAAACAACAGGCTGTAGATGACGTGTTTGTGAATTTGTGTTCCCCAGCAAGACCTCTGAGGGCTACTATCAATTCATTGTCACGTTCAAAGAAGAAGCAGTTGCAGAATATACTGTATTAGTGAGCACATCGTTGTGCTTGAGAAAGATGATCTGCTTTATGCAATAGTCCGATTGTTCCAGGATTGTTATCTTTTTGTTCGTGGTGTCACTATCCTTTGAACTGAAATAACTAATGATGGTAATTTCTGCTTTTATGTGTGAGTATAGCTAAAAAGATCAATGCATAATGGTGGTCCTTTCTTCTCTACACATATAGAAAAGTCATCCTTCCATTTGCTAGTGCAGACAGCACTTGTAGAATGGGATATTGATTTCGACTGCTTCTTGAAGTCTTTCCTCTAACAGATCTTACCCTAATTACTAACTGTTACTTTCTAGTGTGATCTATCTGCCTCTTAACCATATCTTAACCATACAATTATGCCTTATTATTTCTCTCTGTCTCCTTTTACCCCATCTCTCCTCTTCTGACCACCACTTCCCTCAATCTACCCTTGCTTCTATCAATCCCCCCTCCCTTCTTTTATCCTCCTCCCTTCCTACTTTCCTGTAGCACAAGATGTATTTCTATATCCAACTGAGTATGTATGTTATTCCCTCTTTGAGCCAATTCCAATGAGAGTAAGGTTCATTTGATGCCCACCCACCCCCATCTTTCCTTCCACTGTAAAAGCTCTTTCATGCCTCTTCATATGAGATAATTTACCTCATTCTAACTCTCCCTTCCCTCTTCTCCCAGTGCAGTCCTCTTTCTTACCCCTTAATTTTATTGTTTTCTTTTTTGGGTATCATCCCATTAAAGTCAACTTATACCCATGCCTTCTGTCTGTGTATACTCCTTCTAACTGCCCTAATAGTGATAAACTTCTTAAGAGTTAAAAGTATCATCTTCCCTTACAGGAATGTAAACAATCTAACCTTATTGCATCTCTTATGCTTTCTCTTTTCTTTTTGCCTTTTTATGCTTCTCTTCAGTCTTGTATTTGAAAATCAAATTCTCTATTTAGCTCTTGTCTTTTCATCAGGAATGCTTGAAAGTCCTCTATTTTATTGAATATCCATTTCCCCCCTGAAGAATTATACTAATTTTTGCTGGGTGGGAGATTCTTGGTTGTAATCCTAGCTTCCTTGCCTTCTGGAATATCATATTCTAAGACCTTTTATACTTTAATGTAGAAGCTGCTAAATTCTATTTAATCCTGACTGTAGCTCCATGATATTTGAATTGTTTCTCTCTGGCTGCTTACAGTATTTTCTCCTTGATCTGGGAGCTCTGGAATTTGGCTATCATATTTTTGGGAGTTTTCATTTTGGGATCTCTTTCAGGAGGTGATCGGTGGGTTCTTTCCATTTCTATTTTACCCTCTGGTTCTAGGCTAGAGAGCAGTTTTCCTTGACAATTTCTTGAAATATGATATACAGGCTCCTTTTTTGATCATGGCTTTCAAGTAGTCCAATAATTCTTAAATAATTCTATTCTTATGTAAAGGCAGGTACAGATCGTATCAATGACTCCAATCACCCTACCCCTTAACTAACAAGATAAATCCTTAACAGGTGAGAACACATCTATTGCATCAATCAATGTTTTAGATTAAGTGCAAAAAGTTTAGTTTAGAAGTCCTTGGATGAAATGGAGAGACACTTGCACAAGAAGTATATTTAGATTAGTTGAGGGAACTTTGCCATGCCCTGTAGATCTTGTATAAAACCAACAAGCTAGTTTGGAATCAAGCCCTCAAGTGTCTGGCAAGGTCCAGAATCACTCACTTCAATCTCCTACCTTGACTAGAGAAGGACTTGGTAAACTTTAGAGAGTTAAAAGTCCTAGTCCTAGCAGCATCCCCAGAACAGGTGATGCCATCTGTGCACTAGGACAAACTAGACACCACAGAGGCTTTGCTTTAAGCCTGTATGAGGATCCTAGCAGAAAAGCTACCTGATACCTAAGAGGAAATCATGTGTATCCCAAAAAGGGAAGAAAAGGACTTCCAGAAAGCAGCAGATATGAATTACCTCTTTGCAACATGTACATTCTAAGCGTGAGCCCACTTTCTCCTAGATTCTATATATATTGGTAGGAATGTATGTCATAGAATAGTTGGGAATGTTCTCTATCAGCTATCCTTACCATATCACGTTAGTAAATATCCCTTTCAAAAAGCTTATTGAGTCTAGCTGACCAATTGATATGAACTACTAATCACTGGGGAAAGCATACCAGTGGGAGCTCATAAGCTATTATACTAGAAAACCATCCCCAACTCCCTCAGGACCCCCCTAGAATCCTGAGGGGACCCGTAGTAGCCACACTCTGGGGATCCAACCTGCTGGTGAGATTAGGGATTGAAAGAGTAAGTCCAGAGCATGTGCAACAATTTTTTTTTCAAAAAGTACAACTGATGGATAAAGAACCAGGCCTAAAGTAAGGAAAACTCTTCTTCCTGAGTTCAAATCTGGCCTCAGACAAAAAATAAGATCTATTGAGTGGGGGCAGCTAAGTGGCACAGTGGATTCAGCACTAGCCCAGACCTGAGTTCAAATCTGGCCTCAGTCCAAACACTTGACACTTACTAGCTGTGGGACCCTGGGCAAGTCACTTAACCCCAATTGCCATAAAGAAAAATCGATTGAGTGGTCTGCTCTTCCTGGTTTATGTCCATTTCTCTCTGATACAACTTCCCTTCTCCCCTCCCCCTTACAGCTATGATGAAGGAGTAAAAGGAAAGGGAATAAGCATTAATATAACACCTACTAGGTGCTAAGTGCTTTTACAAATATTATCTCATTTGATAAAAGACAAGGAGGGGGAAGGATGAAGATACCACCCAGTGTTTGCTACATCATCCCAAAGTGCCAAGCCCCTCATGTTGTTGGGGGAGCTCAGCATGTTCCATGAAGTATACTCCAAAACCACTATATAAGGTTTTGTAAATGAAATTATACTCTAATTTCATGTTGTACTTTGCGTCTACATTACTTTATTTGGTAAGGCGATTGAATATTTGCTGGCTGAGGTAATTTCAGTCAGCTAATCAGTCAATAAACATTTATTAATCACCTAAATATGCCAGGAATTGTGCTAAATTCTGGGGAAACAAATACAAAAAAAGAAGATGGCCTTTGCCCTCATGGAGCTTATAATCTAGTGGGAGAAGACAACACACAAAAACAAACTGAAAATGGGGGGGTGGGAAATAGTGGTGGTACTTGGATGGGGGCAAAGTGGAAGAGTCTGGAATTTGAAGCAAGGAAGATAATCAAAAGCATGGGAGGAAAAACTTAGACCTTATTAGTACTGGAAAGGAAAGGTGATAGAAAACAACAACTACTACTCACTCATATGCTGACTTTTCTATGTATGCAAAATATGAAACTTGTCTAAGCACATATCAAGGATAACCTCCATGAAGCCATTAGTAGGGATCAGACAGACTTTCATAAGGGATGTTCTATAGCAGAACATACCACCACTATTTTGCATTTGACTGAAAAAGTAAAGAATAAAAGATCTCACTATGCTTGTTTATTGACTATTTTTTAAAAAAACCATTTGATTTGATAAAGCAAAAAACTCTCTTCCAGCAAAGTGTCTCCAGAACATCACAGATTTATAGCTATAAGGAACCTCAGGGGTCATTTAGTTCAAATTCTTCATTCTACAGAAGCCCAGAGAGGGTAGGTGATCCCAAGATCACACAGTAAGTGGCAAAGCTGAGATTCAAACTGAGTTCCTCTGACTCCAAATCAAGTGTTCTTTCCACTGTCTCACCCTGCCTCTCCCATAAAAAATCCTTCAAGATTCTTTGAAAGTTATAACTACAGAAATAACCCTGTCCTGATCACAAACATCAAGAGAGACACAAAGTAAGGGAAGTATGTTCACCAAAGATGTTCATTGATAGGAAATCCAGTGAAGGATTCAAGTTAAAAAGGAATTTCCTGAGGCTGGCGAAGCCTTCAAGAAGTTCCTGGTTTTTTTCTTTTTGTACCAGTTGTATCAAGTCCCAGAACATCACAGAGCATCCTGGAAGACACCCAGATCCACTCAAAAGAATGTGATGTGACTATTTACACAAGAAAAACCAAGTGGACGAAGAACATTTATTGCCCAGGTGACAGCACACCTTTGAATGGACAACATTTAGTTGTCAATTAGTATGCAGACCTGGAACAAACCGTACAAATAGACAATGAGCTGGGGCCAGAATTAACAGGGAGAGTATACTTGGCTAGATTGCCTTTAGGAAATTGCGAAGTTCTTTTAGTGATCCCATGTTTTTCCTGCAACAAAGGCCCAAAATTTCAATTCTAATATTCTACCAGTAGTGTTGCATGGCTACAAAGCATGTAATAGCACAGTCTCTGAAGGATTTAAAATTAATATTGCATTATGAGAAGACATCTTCTACTCCTTTGAAGAATTGTTGGGGGAGGGGTTCTGCAGAGGTGGAACATTGCAAATAGGATCACATTTTTTAGGTTATAACCATTTCTTCCTCTTCTTCCTCATTTCTTTTTTAAATTCTTTGTTATAATAATACTACTAATAGCTAATCCATCCGCAGAGAAAGAACTGATGATGTCTGAATACAAATTGAAGCATACTTTTTGTTTAACTTTATTTTTCTTGAGTTTGTTTTTGTCCATGTTTTCTTTCACAACATGACTATTATGGATATGTTTTTCATGACTACACATGTATAATCTATATTGATTTGCTTGTGTTCTCAATGAGGGGGGAGTGAAGAGGGAGGAAAAGAGAGAATTTGTAACTCAAAGTTTTGAAAACTAATGTTAAAAATTGTTTTTACATGTAATTGGGGGAAAATAAAATACTAGAAAAAATACTAATAGCTAGCATTTCTATAGCACTTTAAAATTTGCAAAGCACTTCATTAATATTATCTCATGTCAACCTCACAATAACCCTGAGAAAAGGTGGCTCTCTGAGAGAGAAGAAGAGGAGGGTTATGTGGAAAAATTTAGGCAAAGCAAAAACAAAATATATCAATAAAAATCTATTTTTAAAAAAGAAATTGTAGGGGCAGCTAGGTGGCACAGTGGAAGGAGCACGGGCTCTGGATTCAGGAGGACCTGAGTTCAAATCCAGTCTCAGACACATAAAACACTTACTGGCTGTGTGACTCTGGGCAAGTCACTTAATCCCACTGCCTAGCCAAAAAAAAAAAAAAAAAAGAAAAGAAAAGAAATTGTATTCACAGAAGGGGAAATGAAAGACACATTGTGGTTGTGAGCACACTGCAATATATAACCAATGAGGAGCTCAAAAGATGAACAAGAATAAAAGATGTCATCCGGGTGAGTGATGACAGGTAGAAAACTCAAGTGCTCTGCTGGTGCCCTTGTGATTTCAGGAGAAAGTGAGGCAGGCCTATAGCCCATTGGGTGAACTTCAGAAGGTTCCTGGAAAAGAGTTGCACAGGACAAGAGGGTATGGATGCATTTTGATCTGTTATCATTGGAAAGAAGATTCAAGTCAGTGAGATCACAGATCTGTTTGAGTATCACCAAGGTCATGGCATGCATTTGTGAGACATTTGCTGGAGAAAAAGATGCAACCTGTGGCCTAGAATAGAACTGTTAGCTGACCCATATAAAGGCGGGTGCCATGATACTGTCCTCATTAGCATCACCTCATCTGACAGAGCTAACTAGAAACTCACAGCCACAATCTTAAATACAGCTTCAGCTTCCCCACAGGGAAGCAACTCTCTCTTGTGTCATAATGAGGACCCCTTTGTGATGTATCAAGTAACACAGGTTCTATATCCTCTGTGATGTAGGGATGATGAATTCTGTATTTCTGGAGGCATAAAGTGTCCAGGACTTTGAGCTTCCATCCTTGGATGGCTAGTCTCTTTGCCTTAGTGGCATTTGGATCATGCTGAAATATATTTTAGCTCTTTGGAACAGTGACTATGCTTATTACGCCTTTGGGTCCTTGTTCCTTATCATGGTTGTGCGACAGTTCTGTTATGCATTTAGGAAACTTGCTAATGAGAGCTGCTGCCAGGTAGGTAAACACCCAAGTCCCTTTCTCCTCACTCCCAAGGCCTGCAAAAGGGTAGGAGAAGGCCTTAGAGCTAATCTTCCTCATCTTTTCTACCTTCTTTACTTTTTTCCCAGTCTTTTCTTCCTTCTCCGACTAAGGGTCAGAATGAGCCATGAGACAAAAAAAAAGCCTTTTCTTAGGAAGCCTTGTTTGTAGGATATCCTCATTACAAAGCCAGGAAGGGAGTGACGTGGAGTGGAGGGGAGTGGTAAGGATTGGTAAAATAATATACAAGGTTGAATGCCTAGAGAGAGAAGACTGGGGAACTTTGGTGAGCTTCGTCTCCTTTGAGATGGTAAAAAAAAAAAAAAAGAATAAACTTCCATTCTCCCACTTATCCTCTGCCTTTCAGTGTCAAAGAAAAGTCCAAAGGAGTTTGGAAGGCACAGAACAAAGAGGTGAGATCTTACATTAAGTCTTTAGCCCTGTCCAACCTATCCTAGGAGCAAACTTACCTTCTCCTTACAACTCCCTTGCGGTCCCATCCAAAACCCAGGAAATTTCCTAAACTCTTTGCTCTGTCCCTATTACAGGATTGAAAGAATGAGGGGGCAGGGCGGTGGTCCACCCTCACCCAAAGTGATCTTGTAGAACTCCTGAGGCTGTCCAAGAACCTGCCCTCCCAGAACTCTGCCCAGATTCACCTGCTCAACACGTTCCACCTTTCCTTGTGCCTTATGACCCCTAACCTTGTTCTTCATTCTCACCATGACCTCCAGGCCTTCCCTCCCTCAGTTCTTTTCAAAGCTATGACCCCTGCCCTGGCTACACTCTTCTCCCTTCCCTATCTCGTTGCCCTAGTGAACCAGTCCAAATCTATACCATCCTCCATATGTGAATCCTTTGCTCCCTGTCCTACCACTGATCATGCCTGGCCCCAGCATTGGACTACTCCCATCAGCCCTTGCTGCTATTTGCATGCCGCTGAACAGAACTGGATAAAGTCATGAAACTGTGTTCACTAGGTCCACTACAAATTTATATTACATAATCTTAACTGGGCCCTCCCTGCAGAAAGACTATTCTTTTATACCTCCTTAATACATTCACGCTCTGGGCAGCGTGGTGGCACAGTGGATAGAGCATTGGTGCTGGAGTCAGAAGGACCTGAGTTCAAATCCAGCCTCAGACACATAACACTTACTACTGTGCAACCTGGGCAAATGATTTAACCCCATTGCCTAGCCAACAGCAACAACAAAAAACCATTCATGCTCTCTCTCTTGAGAATGGCTGTTCCAAACCTTTTCATCTCTCCTCAAGCCTCTCACAGCACTCCCTGCCTCTACTCTCTCAGTTGCGGGCCTTACCTCATACTTCGCTGAAAAAAAATCGTCATTCAACTGAAACTGCTCTCCTCAAAGTCACCAATGATCTCTTTAAAAAAAAATATTTTGTTGGTGTTCTCTGTTTCTTATATCATCAAAGTATCCCACGTATCCCTCCTCCTCCCTCTCCCCAAGGGCCAATCCATATGACAAATTGTGGGGGGGGGGCAGGAGGAAGGGTTGGGAAAGGAAAAAATAATCAAAAAAAACCTGATTGCTGCATCACTAATGATCTCTTAATTGTCAAATCTGATGGTTTTTTCTCAATCCTCATCCTTCTTGACCTCTCCGTAGCCTTTGACGTTACTGATCAGCTTCTTCTGGATACTCTCTCCTCTCTAAGGTTTTTGTAACACTATCCTCTTCTGGTTCTCCTCCTACCTGTGTGACCATCCCTCAGTCTCCTTTGCTGCTTCTTTATCTAGGTCATATCCACTAACAGTGTGCAATCCCCAAGATTTTGTCCTGAGTCTTGTTTTCTTCTTCTTCTATACTATCTCCCCATTGGTGATCTTATCAGCTCCCATGGGTTGAATTAAATCATCTCTATGCAGATGTTTGCCTGGCTATATACACAGTCCTGGGGCAGCTAGGTGGTACAGTGGTTAGAGCATTGGTGCTGGAATCAGGAGGACCTGAGTTCAAATCTGGCCTCAGACACATAATACTTCCTAGCTGTGTGACTCTGGGCAAGTCACTTGACCCCAGTTGCCTCACCAAAAAAAAAAATCATATATATATATATATATATACACACATATATATATATATATACACATATATATATATATATACATATATATATACATATAGATATAGATACAGATACAGATACACATATAGATATAGATACAGATACAGATATAGATATAGATATAGATATAGATATAGATATATATATAGATATAGATGTAGATATAGATGTAGATATAGATGTAGATATAGATGTAGATATAGATATAGATGATATAGATATAGATACAGATATAGATATAGATATAGATATAGATATAGATATAGATATAGATATAGATATAGATATAGATATAGATATAGATACAGCCCTAACTTCTCTACATCTTGGATATTTCAGACTGGATGTCCTAAAGACATCACAAGCTCAACATGAGCAAAGCAGAACTCATTATCTTTCCCCAAAAAATCTTCCCCTCTTCCCAATCTCCCTATTATTGTCTAAGGCAGCACCTAGTCACCTAGGCTCACAACCATAGTGTCATCCTCGATTCCTCTTTCCATCTACCCAATTTATGGCCAAGTCTTGTCATCTACCCCTTCACATCTCTCATGTATGTCCCCTTCTTTCTATGCACATAGCTACCACCTTGGTACTGGCTCTTATCACCTCATTGTAACAGCCTTCCAGTTTGCCTGCCTGCTCCTTCCAGTCCATCATCCCCTCAGTAGCCAAAGTGATCTTAAAGCTCTGATCATATCACTCCCACTCTCAATAAAGTACAGTGGCTCCTTATTACCTCTAGTATCAAATATAAAACCTTCAGTTTGGCTTTTAAAATCCTTCACAAACTGGCCCCTTCCTACGTTTCCAGTCTTTTTACATTTCGCTTCTCTCCCCACATATTCTACAAGCCTGTAACACTAATAATAATCTGGCTGTATATGACAATCTCACTGACCACCCTGTATTCCTGGAATGGTCTTCTCCCTTACCTTTGCTTCCTGGCTTCCTTCAACACTCAGCTCAAATCCCATTTTCTCAAAGAGGTCTTTCCTATTCCTTCCCCTCCACCCCAGTGCTAGTGCCTTCCCTCTGGATTCTATATCTTGTATTTACAGTGATTTGCAGGCTGTCTCCCCTATTAGGTTGTGAGTTCTTTGAAGGCAGGACCTGTTTTTGTCTTTCTTTGTATCCCCAGCACTTAGCACAGTGCCTGACACATATCAAGTGCTAAATAAATGCTTATTGACTGACTGATTGATTCTGCTGGCTTCCTAGTTTGGAGATCTTCCCAGGAAGACACCAAGACCCCCTTGGAAGTGTTGTCCATCCTGAAAAGGTGATCTACCCCCTCTTCTCATATCCCCATTTCCGGTATCATCTGAACTAATCCCAAATTCCCAATCTAGCATGTGGGGAGGAGGACTAGTGAACCTGAACAAAAGAACTTGAAATGATCATGTTGGACACTTTATGATTGAAAGATGGGGGGCCCATCACTGTGACAGTACTCAACAACAAAAAAAAACTGTTGAATTCTTTATAGGGCTTCCTTTATTGTAACAGAAAGATGCCCATAAATAGAAAATGGGAAGGGGGTATGAGACACCTATTCAGAACTCAGTGCTAGTAACTACAGTGATATTGGTCCTGGGATTCAGAAGTTGGGTTATTGATTGATCTCAATCAAAAAAGGCTACATAAGACAAAACAGAACAACTCAGATTTTGGAGCTGTCCAACTAGAAAAATGGCTTCTCCATAATTGAGACATCATCACAGCTATTCTTTTTCCAACTGTCATACTATGAATCTTAATCATAGGTTCTTAACTCTTTCAGACTATCCATGCTTTCCAGAGACCATGTTCTCTTTTACTGTTTTCAGGGAGCCCATAGACTCACAGCTCACAACTCAGTCTATACCAGGGGTTGTTCTTTTTCTTTTTTTTCCTGTGTGTCACATACTCCTCTGGCAGACTGGTGAAGCCTATGGATCGCTTCACTGAATCATGTTTTTAAATGCATAAAATAAAATATGGAGAATTACAAAGAAACCTGTTATATACAGTTGCCAAAAATATATATTGTTTAAGTTCATGGACCCCCAAGCTAAGAACTCCAGGGCCACATGCTTCCTAAAGATCCCTGTAGAAGGGCATAGAATGTGGCACGCATTTCAGAACCTCCAGAAGACCTAGCCCCATTGAGGAGTTACAGAATCAGGTTTAGATACTCGGCCTCACTTAATTTTAGTGTAGTTTAGACTTGATGAGTCATTAGCTTAACCTAACAACTGGCTCCTCTGTTCCCTTCTCTGGCGTGCGGTAGAAAGGTGAAGCAGAGCTTCCTAGCGCTAAATACAGCTCCCAGGCTTCTCTGAAGGCCTGAGTGACTCTCTGGGCCATGTCCTCCAAGCCTCAGGCCATCTGCCATTGCTGAGGGAATTAAAGGAATTCTTAACCTTTTGGAGTCATGGGCCCCTTGAGCATCTATGAACTGCTTTTCAGAATAACACATAAAAGCATATAATCAAATACATTGAATTTAAAAGGAAACCAATTATATTCAAATATAGTTATCAAAATATATTAAAAATGAATGTCACAAGGGCAGCTAGGTGGTGCAGTGGACAGAGCTCTGGCCTTGGAGTCAGGAGGACCTGAGTTCAAATCCAGCCTCAGACACTTGACACTTACTGGCTGTGTGACCTTGGACAAGTCACTTAACCCCCATTTCTTCACCAAAAAGCAAAAACAAAACAAAAAAACCCTCCAAAAAATAAATGTCACAAATCTCCTGAAGCCTATCCACACATACTCCTTTGGTGGTGGTGGTGGGGAGGGGGAGTGATGTCCATGAACCCCAGGTTAAGAACATCTACTACAGAGGGAGAAAAAGAGTAGAAAACAAGCTTCCATAGAAAAGGGAGTTTGTCTAGAAATAACTAGTATCCTGTCTTTCCCCAATAGCCAAACCTGGGTTCCCAAAGAAAGTAGCATTCGGAAGCTGCTGTGTGAGGACCCTACCTGTTCCATCTGTAATACTGTGGCCTTGGAAACAAAGTTGCTGCTCTCTGGTGAGAAAGACTTGCACTCCCCCCCACTGCAGAACACATCACTTGGGTCTTCTTACTTAGAGGCTATGAGCACGTCTACTCTTTCTCTTGACCAAAGTTTGGACCGAAGCTCATCTACGGAATCCCTGTCATCCCCACTCCCAGTCCAAACTCCTTCAACTCAGACAGCCTCCCTGTCTTCCCCCAGGGTCCCAAACTTCTGTCCCCTGAATGGGGGGGCTACTGACGTCAAGAAGAACTGTCTGCAACAGAAGTACAGTCAACTGTTCTGCAGTCTCCCCTCTCTGCACAGTGAATCCCTGGTAGCCACCTTTCCGAGGCACGACTCCCTCTCCTCACCCAGTAGCGTCTCCTCTTTGGACAGTACTTTCCTCTTCAATGAATTGTCCTTCCTCCCCTTGCTGCCACATTCTACCCCTCCTCCTTCTCCACCTATTCTGATTGGGAACAGCATCAAAGCCCCTGAAAAGACCCAAATCAATGTCCCATTTCTCACTGTAGCTGAATGTGAAACCTTGGAGTGGCATCTACTACAGAGACAGCTCCAAATGCTATGGGGTCTACCCCCCTTAATCCAGATGAGTCAACAGTCCCAGAGACCCCTTGATCATGAACTCCGTGAGGCAGACCAGGTCCTTATGCCTCCTTGTCCCAAAATGAAGTTCTCTGTCCTCACAAGGGAGCTTTTTTTCTTCCCGGACCATGCCAGGAGGCTCCTTGAGCTACATTTTCAGAAGCGGATCCTTCAGCATCAGCTAAGGCCACCTCAGTCAAGCCAGAAGTCTGTTCCCCTGCTTCTGTCCCCAATTAACCAGCCACAAGTCCCTGAGAGCACCTCGATCGAAGTGAGACTTCCCCAAAATGAAAATCCCCAACTCAAGATGGCTCAAGCACCTGCTCCCATTATGACTCCTGCCCATTTCATCAAGCCTGAAACCTATGCCAAAGCTAGGGTGACCGTTCAAAGGCACATAGAGAAAAAATGTCTGCAGATCAAACAAGGGAGCTTTCCAGACATCATATCTGGGTCATGGGACATTGGGAACCAATTGTCAGCGGGAGACCCTCCTACCCAGAGAATTTTCGAAACTGCCCACTCCAATATGGAGTCAGAAGGCTTGGCTTTCCAAGATCCATATACAACAGCATGGATGGAGCTGACCAACAGAAACTAACACCGCTGGATGAAACCATGAGGCAGCCAGACCAGGCTGTGACCCTCCCAGAGAGCGTAATTGAGAAACTGCAAATGATTTTGAGACACAAATACTTGACTTTCTTATCAGGATTACCAGCTCTTTATTATGTGGCTCTCTATAGGGCAATGTCCCCTTTAGCTATTTCCCAAACGGATGTGCCTGGCATGGGGCAAGGGGTAGGAAAGGAACAAATTGACCCCATAAGATACAGGATATGGGCTGAAGAACAATCACTTCTCCCCAAAGCAGAGATTAATGATTCCACCATGAACTCTAGGGACACTGGAAATGAATTAGTGGTTTCACAACAGATAAACGTCTCAGAGGCAGTACCAGAAAGAGGAGGCAATGAGAAGAGTCCACACGGAATAGGTGAACAAAGAGGGTTTGACTGCCCACAGTGTCCCTATTCACCAAGTAAGTCTGTCATCTTGGCCAAGATGGATTCCCACCTAAGGAAGAAGGTGTTAGAAGTAAGTATGGGGATTCCCCAAAAAGCTATAGATTCTAGGGAACTCTCTGAAGCTCTGCAATTTTCTTTACCTGAGCCTGGCTTAGGACATGTTCCCACAGCTGTGAGTCCAGAAAGCCCCAAAGAACTACAAAGGATTCTCGGCAGACCAGGGAGCCAAGAGTTCCCAGAAATGTGCTCATTACCCGCGGCAATAGATGTTGAGGTTCCAAGCTGGACGTATTTTAAGGAGCAGCTCTCCAATAAGCTGGAGCTCAGTTTGATGAGAACATCAGAGTACCAAACTCAAAGCTCCCCCACAGCTCTTTCCCTGACATCCCCCCACATCCCAGGCTTCCAGGTTTCCAAGGTTACCCAGCCACACTCCCAGAAAAAGCCCAGTAGGGGCATGGCTGATGCTCAAGTGCTCCATGTACATATGGAAGTAGAACAGAGAAGCCCAAGCCAAGGGAAGTACTGGAAAGTGGAGCCACAGAGTCCCTGGGATTGCCAGGCCAAGGGCATCAGCTCAAGCCCAAACAAGATAGAAGGCTCCAAAGGAGAAGATCAGGGTGGAGGGGATGCAGGGTGGGGGACCTCTTCTCTCAAAAGAAGGAGCCATGCCCTCAAGGCCAGAAGGCCAACCAAGCCTCCTATGAGCAGGGCCCTGAGATCCCCACATCCAGGGGACAAGGACCCTTATCGCACCACCCCCCTCCAGAAGTTTCCTCAATCTTTTTCCAAAGCTGAGAATTCAGGGGCACTTTTTGGAGTGCCAGAGAGGAAAGAGGCTGAGTGGGATGACCATAAAGGCAGCCAAAGAAAGTTGAAGGACACTTCTTCTCTGACAAGGGACCCTGAGAACTCCCAATCCAGTGACCCTAAAAATCCCATCAAAGTGGCCCAGAGAGCAAAAAGTATGCAGGTCCCAGAGGGGACAGTTTATACTCCCCAGGGTCAAACCCCTTCAAAAAACAGCTTCATGGAAAAGATAAAATACTTCCTTCACTGGTTCAGCCTCAGGAAAAAAGTTGGGAGTCAGAACTTAGTCCACACCTTCCCCAGGGCTGAGGTGTCACCATCCAAGAAGGGTATTCCTAAGAAGGTTCCGATCTCAGCCAGCGGCTCCACAAGTAAGGGACAGAAAGCCAAGAAGAACGTGGAATTCAAGGAGCACTCCTACCCATTCCCAAGTAAGAACCTTCTGGTCAGTGCCAAGGTCCCCCCAACGAGTCAGATCCACCATCTCAATTGCCACAAGGGCCATCCACACTTCTGGAACCCAGAACAGTGCCAGCGCTTCAATCACTGTTCAGATATGTATGTTCAGCAGGAAAATGATCCTTCTTCCCTCATGCCTTCTGAGGACAACTTTTGCTCCCTCAGAAATAAAGTCCAGTCCCAACAGAGAGAGTGACTTCATTCTCATGAATGCATACCCTCTGATCAGGACAGTATTCTTTTCCATCAATGTGGGGCCACCGTCCTTCCCAAATACATTCTATTCCTCTAATGGGAGAGCAGAGTCTTCTGTCCCTTCACCCACCCCCTACTCTGTTGTTTGGGGCTTGGGGGGGGATGAGGGGAGGGAGAACCACCTAGCATTCTAATGTGCCCCAAGATCTTTCTCATTAGGATTTCCTGTAATCTCAGACCCACATTCCAGACAGCGGTGGTGCCTGTCTATTACAGCTATGGGTGGAGAAATTAAGGTACAAAGAAGGGAGAGGACTGGGGACTGAACCAGCCTCCTTTGATGATATCCCAGCAAATGGGGAGTAAAGAAATGTGGGTTAGATGAGAATGCATTTTGGTGGATTTACAGCTGGCTAACCCTCCCCTCCCTCCCACGGAGTGTTAGTGGCTCTCTCTGTCAACATGGCAGGTCTAATGTGGTGCCACAGGGCTTTGACCTTGGCCAATTTAAACATCTCTTTCGATGACCTGAATAAAAAGCAAAGAAGATGATGCTTTGCGTTACTGATGACATAAAGCTAGGAGGAATAATAGGACAAAATCAAAATTTTAAATGATTTCAACAGATCAGAATTCTGGGCTAAAATCAGAAAGATTCAGTTTTAACAGGGACAAATATAGGAGTCATTTATTCATCCTCAGTCAATTATAACAACTGTAGGACAGGACAAAGCCCCCTTGGTGGCAGGAATTCCAGTGAAAAAGCAAACCTCAAAGCAGCTAGATGGCGCCATAGTGCACAGAGTACTGGGCTTGGAATCAGGAAGACCTGAATTCAAATCCAGCCTTGGACACTACCTTGCTGTGTGACCCTGGCTAAGTTCCTTGACCTTTGCTTGCCTCAGTTTTCTCAACTGTAACATGGGATAATGTAGTGTCTACCTCCCAGGGTTGTTGTGGGGATTAAATGAGATAATATTTGTAAAGTGCCCTGCACATAAGTTCTATATAAATGCTTGCTAACGTCATCATTATTTTTATTATTATTATTGCTACTACCATTACTATTAACCATAAGCTTAATATCATGTGGCTGCTAAAAATAAAAAGTTAGCAGACTCTCAGGCTATATTTAGAAGTGTAATGTTCCAATCATGGGAAATCACTGTTCCATTATATCCCACCACAGTCTGACCATACCTGGAGTGCTGTGAATGTTTCTAGGTGACACATTTTTAAAAGCAGCATTGAAAATCTAGAAGGCATGCAGAGGAGAACAGCCAAAATGTTGAGAGATCAGACATCACAGCACAAAGAGAATCAGGTTGAAGGAACTGTTTGGGAATGTTCAAACTGGAAAACAAAACAAAACAAAACAAAACACCCAGAAATACAGACCCATCCCATTGTAAGCTTATTACTTCTAATTGTGAAGCATTTTCAGATAAAAATGTCATGAATGGTGGTTAAAGGCCAGCACATAAATCCCTATTTAATTCATAACATACCTGAAATGCAGTACTATACAAATTCAGTAATTCAGTACCTAGTCACCATGTGTAACCATGTTTCTATGAGAATGCAGTTATAATTCCAATTTGGGACACTTAGATGATGTCCTCTGACCCCTTCTGTGGGTGCAAGTGCTGCCCCTCCTCTCTCCCTCCCCACCTCTCAAGTCCTGCCAAGCAGCGAGAAGCCATTGGTGATGCCTCCAGCTAGCTGCCGGGGAGGAATTGGGGTGAAAATTCTAGGAATGGGATTCTGGAGTGAGGTCTAAGGGGCTGAGTGGTGAAGACAGGACTAGACTCCAGGGGATTAAGGCAAACAGCTTGTAAGGGTGGTTCCCTGCCCATGTAAGCCCCCCTGGGGATATCCCCTAGTCTTGGCCAAGCCCTGTGGTTATTTCCTTTCTTTTCTTCAGAGGACCCCATGGCTTGGCTTGCCTCCTTTCCTCTTCTCTCCTCTCCTCACCATCAATTGCTCCTATCCAAGGGCAATCTTCTCTACAGCTCTCTAAAGAAAAGAACAGATCTTCCCAGGTTCTCCTCTAACCTGCTCTAGAGGAAGCACCAGAGGCAGGCACAGGGCCCTTAAGAACTTATACTAGGAAGCATACTTTTGGGCTACATAGTTCCCTCCTGTTTCCCAACGTCCTTCCCTTACACCCTTCTCTTTTTTTCCTTTAGACCCCTTTAGGGAAGTTGCTCATAAGTGCTAATACAGAGTTTGGGGGGCCATAAAGGACTGAAGAAAGATTTATATAATACTTCACAGAAAAGGCATTCTGGGGCCATCTTGGGCCCTTTATCACAGGAGGGTAAAGAGTAGAACAGGACAGACCTCTGGGCCAAAGGGAGGTACGGGGGGGATCAAGCACCAGACCCGCATGGGCTGTTGGAATGACAGTGATGATGAGATGAGAAAAATGCCAAAATGTCAAACTGCCTACCATTTTCAGAAAAGGGGAGGCAGGGAGAAAATTTGGAACTCAAAATCTTGTAAAAATGAATGCTAAACATTTTCTTGACATGTAACTGTGGAAAAAAATAAAATACCATTAAACCTGAGAAAAATGCCAAAAAATTTAGAAGCTTACCTTCCTTTTCTCCTCTTTCCCTGCCACCATATCCCTGGACTACTGTAACAGAACCAAGAACCCATATGACAAGCATTATGATCACAAACGCTGACAGTGAAGACGACCCTCAGCAACCACTGTACCACCTAGCTGCCCCCACCACAATTCTATTTATATATGCACAACTACAAGCAGTTCAGCCATTTTCTTTTTTTTCTTTTCTTTCTTTTTTTTTTTTTGGTTAGGCAATGGGGTTAAGTGACTTGCCCAGGGTCACACAGCTAGTAAGTGTTATATATCAGAGGCCGGATGTGAACACATGTCCTCCTGAATCCAGGGCCTGTGCTCTATCCACTGCACCACCTAGCTGCCCCTCAGCCATTTTCTTTTAGTGCCTACCATGTATCCAGCACCAGTGGACCTTCCAGTGGAGATCATAAGATCACAGAATTGGAATGAACCTTGAGGTCATAAATCACAGGTTTAGACCAAAAGTTACCCTAGAGATCAACTAATCCAACCCCTTCATTTTACAGATATGCAAACTAAGATCCAGCGAGGTTAGGTGACATGTTCCAGGTCACACAAGTAGTCAAGGATAGAGCAAGGATTCCGACTCAGGTTCTCTGACTCCAGACCCAATATTTTCTCATCTCTACCAGGAGGGTAGATGGGGTGGAAACCAAGAAACCTGGAGAAGGATGCTTGGCCATCTCCAACCAGGGAGGCTTTAGGGTTCTTTCACCCTAGAGACAGACTAGCTAACTCGAGAGAGCTACTATCATTACCTTCCTCCCTAGTCTTGATGAATCCACAGGCAGAGAAATAGTGTGGTGGACTGTGAAGAATATCAGACTAGAAGCCAGGAAGACTAATCTATTAGCAAATAAGAACAGTAGCCTAATGTTTGACAAACTTAAAGATCCCACCTATTGGGGCAAGAACTCACTATTTGATAAAAATTGTTGGGAAAACTGGAAAGTAGTCTATGAAAAATAGATATGGACCAATATCTCACATAATATACTAAGACAAGCTCCAAATGTACACAAGATTTAAACAGAAAGGGCAAACTCATGATCCAAGTAGAGGAATATGGAAGAAATTACTTATCAGATCCGTGGATGGGAATTCCCTCTATAGCATCACCAACAAGTAGTATACCAAGCTCCACTTAAAACTCTCCAGTGAAGGAATGTCTGCTACTTCCCAAAGGCAGCCCACTTTTGAATAGTTCTAAATATTCCTTTATATGAAGACTTAATTTTGGGTCTCTGTAGTTAGGTTTGGTTCTGCTTCTAGTTTCATTTCTGAGGGTCTGTCAATCTAATCTCTCTTCCAAATGACTTCAAATACTTGAAGATAGTTAACACATCATCCCTGAGTCTTTTCTAGACTAAACATTCCCAGAATCCGATGTCTGTATGGTCTCCAGGTTTCTCACCATCCTGATTGCCCTAATCTGAATGTACTCAAGACTGTCTAAATCCTTCCTGAAGAATAACACCCAGCATTCAACATAATGCCCCAGTTGTAGTATATGCAGACCAGAATCCCATGGGACAATCACCTTCCACAATCTGGAGGTTATGCCCCATTGTAATGCAATCTAAGATTGAGTTCGTTTTCCTGGATGTTGACTCATATTGAGTCTGTGATCTCTGAGACCCACAGCTCTCTCATATGAACTCTAGCCTAGCCACACTTCCCTCATGCTGTGCTTCTGAAGTAGAATTGTGGGACATTAAATAAAGACCTTTCCATTCGTCCACATTAAATTTCATCTTATTACAGTTGCCTTGGCAAGATCTCTTTGGACCCTGACTGTTGCCTCATGCCGCATGCAATTTGATATGTAAAGCAAGTATCCTTTCAACTACGTTGATGACAAAAATGTTGAATTGCCAACAGCCAAGAACAGAATCCTGAAGCACTTTACTAGAGATCCCCCTCCAAGTAACAAATTGCTATTTGGGTTAGGTACATTCAATCAGTTCCAAATCCTAATTTATTATTGACTAGTACACATCATTCCACAAGGATGGTGTGACTTTCTCAAATACTTCACTGAAATCTAAGTTTATTACGTCTACATCATTCTGCTGCTCTAATAATTTCATATTCCTATAACAAAAGAAAATAAAGTTAGTAAGGCATGATCAATATTTGATGAAATCATGCTGGCTTTTAGTAACTACTGTTTCTCTTGCTAAATGCTCACAAACCATCCCTTTACTAATACATTTTAGAAGTAATGTTGCTATTGCTATTACAAGATACGTAGGGAAGATAAAACATTCCTTATTTACTGAAAGCACAATGATGTATGTAGAAAATCCTGGGTGGGAGGGGGCAGAGCCAAGATGGCAGAGTAAAAGCAGTGACTCATTTCAGCCTCTCCCCCAAACCTCTCCAAATACCTATAAAAATGGCTCTAAACAAATTCTAGAGTAGCAGAACCCACAAAAAGATAGAGTGAAACAAATTTCCAGCCCAAGACAACCTGGATGGTTGATTGGAAAGGTCTGTTGCAGCAGGCTGGGAGAGGAGCTCAGTTCAGCGTGAGCCACCCAGGCAAAGACAGGGCCTCAGTGAACCTGAAGCAGGCCTCAGGGGATTGAATTAAGGGGAGCTGTGCCATTTTCCAGACTTCTCAACCCACAAATGCCAAAGACAACTGAGAAGGTCAGTAGGAAAGGTCTATTGGACCTCAGTGAGAGAGGAATTCAATCCAGCCCCAGTCTCATTGCAGCCCTGGGGTGGCGGCTGCTTCTAGAGCTCTCGGCCCATTGATGGTGGGAGGATCAAGTGGCTGATCAGAGGGGGATTACAGCGATCTCTTTGCTGGTGCTGAGGCAGGATTCTCTTGCTTTGCCCACGCTTGGATCTGAGTTATAGTCCTGGGTGGTGGTTCTGGGGCAAGGAGGATCGCTGGTGTGGTGGAGCTTATGGTGTCAGTGAAGAAGGAATCCTCACAGTTCCAAGGCAGAAAAGTGTGCTTGTGGTCACTCATAGACCAGAGCACAGGCCAGGAAAGGAGTAAACACCTTGCCTTTGAGACCTCAGAAGAACTGAAAATTTATAGGTCTCTAGAAGTATCTCTGAAAACAGCTACGCAAAACCCCTGAAGCTTGGGACAGACAATACATTCTCCACACTGGAAGCAGATCCTTACCTTAAGAAAAAGTTTAATCGTCAAGTAATTAGCTGGGAACATGAGCAAACAGCACAAAAAAGTCAGACCATAGAATCTTACTTTGGTGACAAAGAAGATCAAAACATACAACCACAAGAAGACAGCAAAGTCAAAGCTCCTACATTCAAAGCCTCCAAGAAAAATATGAATTTGTCCCAGGCCATAGAAGAGCTCAAAAAGGATTTTGAGAAGCAAGTAAGAGAAGCAGAGGAAAAACTGGGAAGAGAAATGAGAGTGATGCAAGAAAAATCATGGAAAACAAGTCAACAGCTTGCTAAAGGAGACCCCAAAAATACTGAAGAAATTCTTGGAGAATCAGCAAAGAAACTAATTGAGAAGATTAGTAGCCTCTGTAGAGTAGCAAGATACAAAGCAAACCCATAAAAAATTTTTTTAAAGCATTTCTATACAGCAATAACAAAATCCAGGAGAGAAAAATACAAAGGGAAATCTCAAACAAAATCATTATGAAATACATATAATATCTAGGAGTCAATCTACCAAGGCAAGGTTAAGACCTGTATTAGTATAATTACAAATACAGCCACAAATGTACCCAGCTAGCCTATTTTTTTTATTGATCCAAAGATCCTAGATACTGGGATAAGAGAGCCCTATGAGATAAAAACCACTGATAAAGCTGGAAAGAAGTCTGACAGAAACTAGATATAGACCAACATCCATGGATGGACTGGCAAATGTTTAACAACTGGCTCTCCTGGGGAAAAAAAAGACACATGACACATTTAAATGTAATTTGCATTAATATTTTCTGCAAAACTTACATCTAGAAAAAAACCAAAACAATAAATCAAGGCCTGGTTTCTAGCATTTGCTTATTTTCTAGGAGTAAATGCCCATACTAAAAATTTAACAAGCAGCTCTCTCAAGCCAATAAGAGCTGGCTCCAACACATTCCTGCCAATATCTCTTATCATATACAAGTTAAGCTACACATAGATGCCATGATTTAGGTATAAAGGGTGATACCATAAACCAAGGAGCAAGGAAGAAAGTACTTTTCAGATCTCTGGATGGGGAACAGTTCATGAGTAAAAAGGGGACAGAGAAGACTGCAGAAGACAAAATGCATAATTTTAATTACATAAAATTTAAAAGATTTTGCATGCACAAAACTAATGTAGCTAAAATTAGAAGGGAAGCAGGTAATTAGAAAACATATTTACAATAAATCTCCCTGATAAAGGTCTCATTTCCAAGATATATAAGGAACTCACTAAAATTTATAAGAATAAGCTATTCCCCAATTGATAAATTGTCAAAGAATATGAACTGGCAAGTTTTTTTTTTCCTTTTTCTTTTTAAAAATTTATTTATTTATTTATTTTGAGTTTTTAACATTCACTTCCATAAGATTTTGATTTTTAAATTTTCTTCCCCTCCCTTTCCTCCCCCTCCCCAAGAGTGAAATCCAATACAAGCTCTACTTATACATTCACATTAAGCATATTTTCCCATTAGTCATGATGTAAAGAACAATCATAACTAATGGGAGGAACCACAAGAATGAAGCAATAAAATAAAACAACTAAGAAAAAGGAGAGCAAATTATATGCTTCCATCTGCATTCAGACTCCATAATTCTTTCTCTGGATAGCTTTTTCTATCATGAGTCTTTTGGAGGTGTCTTAGATACTCGCATTTCTGAGAAGAGCCAAGTCTATCAAAATCAGTCA